GTGTGTCAGGATGTGTCAGGGTGTGTCAGGATGTGTCAGGGTGTGTCAGGATGTGTCAGGGTGTGTCAGGATGTGTCAGGATGTGTCAGGGTGTGTCAGGGTGTGTTAGGATGTGTTAGGGTGTGTCGGGATGTGTCAGGGTGTGTTAGGATGTGTTAGGGTGTGTCGGGATGTGTCGGGATGTGTCAGGATGTGTTAGGGTGTGTCAGGATGTGTTAGGGTGTGTCAGGGTGTGTCGGGATGTGTCAGGGTGTGTTAGGATGTGTTAGGGTGTGTCGGGATGTGTCAGGGTGTGTTAGGATGTGTTAGGGTGTGTCGGGATGTGTCGGGATGTGTCAGGATGTGTTAGGGTGTGTCAGGGTGTGTCAGGATGTGTTAGGGTGTGTCGGGATGTGTCGGGATGTGTCGGGATGTGTCGGGATGTGTTAGGGTATGTCAGGATGTGTCAGGGTGTGTCGGGATGTGTTGGGATGTGTCGGGATGTGTCGGGATGTGTTGGGATGTGTTGGGATGTGTCAGGATGTGTCAGGATGTGTCAGGGTGTGTCAGGATGTGTCAGTGTGTGCCAGGATATACCTGGGTGTGTCAGGATGTGTCAGGATATGTCAGGATGTGTCAGGATGTGTCAGGGTGTGTCAGGGTGTGTCAGGATATATCAGGGTGTGTCAGGATGTGTCAGGGTGTGTCAGGATGTGTCAAGGTGTGTCAGGATGTGTCAGGGTGTGTCAGGATGTGTCAGGGTGTGTCAGGGTGTGTCAGGGTGTGTCAAGGTGTGTCAGGGTGTGTCAGGATGTGTCAGGATGTGTCAGGTTGTGTCAGGTTGTGTCAGGGTGTGTCAGGATGTGTCAGGGTGTGTCAGGGTGTGTCAGGGTGTGTCAAGGTGTGTCAGGGTGTGTCAGGATGTGTCAGGATTTGTCAGGATACATCAGGGTGTGTCAGGATATATCAGGGTGTGTCAGGATATATCAGGGTGTGTCAGGGTGTGTCAAGATGTGTCGGGAAGTGTCTGGATGTGCCAGGAAGTGTCGGGATGTTTCCGGGATGTATCGGGAAGTGTCAGGGTGTGTCTGGAAGTGTTGGGATGTGTCAGGGATCTGTCGGGAAGTGTCCGCATGTGTCGGGAAGTGTCGGGGTGTGTCGGGAAGTGTCGGGGTGTGTCGGAAAGTGTCGGGGTGTGTCGGAAAGTGTCGGGGTGTGTCGGGAAGTGTCAAGGTGTGTCGGGAAGTGTCAAGGTGTGTCGGGAAGTGTTGGGATTTGTCAGGGATGTGTCCGGATGTGTCGGGAAGTGTCGGGAAGTGTTGGGGTGTGTCTGGAAGTGTCGGGGTGTGTTGGGAAGTGTCGGGGTGTGTTAGGAAGTGTCGGGGTGTGTCAGGAAGTGTCAGGGTGTGTAGGGAAGTGTTGGGATGTGTCNGGAAGTGTCGGGGTGTGTTAGGAAGTGTCGGGGTGTGTCAGGAAGTGTCAGGGTGTGTAGGGAAGTGTTGGGATGTGTCAGGGATGTGTCCGGATGTGTCAGGAAGTGTATGGATGTGCCGGGAAGTGTCGGGATGTTTCCGGGATGTGTCGGGATGTATCGGGAAGTGTCAGGGTGTGTCTGGAAGTGTCGGGATGTGTCAGGGATCTGTCGGGAAGTGTCCGCATGTGTCGCGAAGTGTCGGCGTGTGCTGGGAAGTGTCGGGGTGTGTCGGGAAGTGTCGGGGTGTGTCGGGAAGTGTCGGGGTGTGTTGGGAAGTGTCGGGGTGTGTCGGAAAGTGTCGGGGTGTGTCGGAAAGTGTCGGGGTGTGTCAGGAAGTGTCAAGGTGTGTCGGGAAGTGTTGGGATTTGTCAGGGATGTGTCCGGATGTGTCTGGAAGTGTTGGGGTGTGTCGGGAAGTGTCAGGGTGTGTTGGGAAGTCTCGGGGTGTGTCAGGAAGTGTCAAGGTGTGTCGGGAAGTGTTGGGATGTGTCAGGGATGTGTCGGGAAGTGTTGGGGTGTGTTGGGAAGTGTCGGGGTGTGTTGGGAAGTGTCGGGGTGTGTCAGGAAGTGTCAAGGTGTGTCGGGAAGTGTTGGGATGTGTCAGGGATGTGTCGGGAAGTGTTGGGGTGTGTTGGGAAGTGTCGGGGTGTGTCAGGAAGTGTCAAGGTGTGTCGGGAAGTGTTGGGATGTGTCAGGGATGTGTCGGGAAGTGTTGGGGTGTGTTGGGAAGTGTCGGGGTGTGTCAGGAAGTGTCAAGGTGTGTCGGGAAGTGTTGGGATGTGTCAGGGATGTGTCGGGAAGTGTTGGGGTGTGTTGGGAAGTGTCGGGGTGTGTCAGGAAGTGTCAAGGTGTGTCGGGAAGTGTTGGGATGTGTCAGGGATGTGTCGGGAAGTGTTGGGGTGTGTTGGGAAGTGTCGGGGTGTGTCAGGAAGTGTCAAGGTGTGTCGGGAAGTGTTGGGATGTGTCAGGGATGTGTCGGGAAGTGTTGGGGTGTGTTGGGAAGTGTCGGGGTGTGTCAGGAAGTGTCAAGGTGTGTCGGGAAGTGTTGG